TGGTCCCCCCAGATCTCCATGATACCTTCTGGCGTGGCAAATTTTAGTTTCTGGTGGTAAGTGGAGTGCACCGCTCCCAACGCATGCAGCCATGTTCGCCCCATAATCACGTTGTAGGGAGAGTCCGTATCAATTACTACGAACTCGGTGTTGATGACGAAGGGACCGGTGGCAACTGGCAATGTGATTTTGCCTATGGGTAAGGCGAACGAGCCGTTGAATCCGATGAGAAGTGTTCTGACCTTGGTAAGGTCCTTGAGGCCAAGACCCATCCGTTTTAAAGTCTCGGAGTACATCACTTCCGAGGAACTTCCAGAGTCTATCAACACCCTTTTGACGTCGAATTTTCCTATCTTCAGGGTCAAGACAAAGAGCGTCGTTATGAGGAGTCACTACGTTTGTCAAGTCCGCGTCCGAGAACGTGATGCTCGATTCACCAGTCCTGGCCCGTTTACTGGGTGGACCTCCATCATCCTCGGTCACCTTCCTTGTAAAAGCTACCCTCTTGAGGTCGGACTCGAGTTCCTTGGACGTGGGGCGATCCAGAGGACATACATGAATGACATCTATGACGTTGTCCGGTTTCTCGGTCAGGGCAATGACGTGTCTCTCTTCTGCCCTGGGCTCTATGTATTCTTTCAAGTATCCGTCTCGGACCAATTTTTCCAAGAACGATTTGTACACCCTGCAGCTTTCGGTGCGATGTCCGAAATCCCAGTGATAGGAACACCTAACCCTTTGATCACGGGTGGAGGGATCGCTCTGCATCTTGGGCGGCCATTTGAAGAACGGCTCGTGGTTGATCTTATGGAGCAACTTGAAGATGGGTTCTTTGAACACAGTGTGAACTCCTTTGGACGAACCCCCTGGAGGGGGCAGCAACCCCTTTCGGGGAGTATCTTCCCGCTCCCTTTCTTTTCCTTTAGATTGCAGGGTTCGGCCTTTGCTGCTTCCTATCTCGTCTTCGATCCTTGAGTATTTGTTTATCCGAGCCATCAACTCTCCCATATCCGAGGGAATCTTCTTGGTTAGGGATCGGTACAGGTCCGTGTCCCTCGCTAGACCGAGCCGGAAAGACGCCGCTGCCATGACTTCCGAGCAACCTTTTACCTCATTAACCTTTTCCCAGTATCGGATGGCATACTGGCGAAGGGTCTCAGATTCCCTACGTCGGAGGGTCAGCAATGACCCAACGTCTTTGGGGCGCTTACTCCCCGTAATGAATCGTGCCAGGAACTGCCTCGTCAATTTCTTCCACGACCCAATACTGTTTGGGGGAAGCGCCTCGAACCACTTCATCGCAGAGTCCCCCAAGCTCATTGGAAACACTCGGCAGAGAAACCGTTGGTCCGAATGATAGAGGGACATCATCTGCTTGTATTGTCTGAGATGGGCTTCGGGATCGGACCGCCCGTCATAAGTTTTGAACCTCGGCATGATGAACTTTCTTGAAACCTCCATCTCTCCGATCTCCCTGGTGAAGGGTGTTTGTATGACCTCATCTTCGACCTCACCCTGGATAGCCTTACTCTTTCTCTTGGATTCCAGCCGGGCTCTGAGATCAATTTCCTCCCTGATGGGATGTCTTCTGAAGTCCTTGAGTTCATCAATGGGCCCCTCATTTCCTGGGTGCCGTGCGGATAGGGAAGAATCCTCCTCGGACTCATCCCCCTCCCTTCGTCTAGACAATCCTCGCCGGAGGTCGTCCAGGGCTAATGGTCTTGCCTTCCTTGAATAGTCGTTAGGAAGGTGCTCGTTGGCTCTCGATCGTTTTGGAGCCCAGGAGCTCTTCGCCTTGTTGTTCAGATGATTCCTTAGATCCTTCGTTTTCGCCTCCCGGGCGGGGAGCCCACGAGAGAGGAATGAGTCCCTCGATCCTTCGTCAGAGGCGGCGAATTCGTTGAGCCGACTTAGGACGTTTACATTGTCTTTTTTCAGCTGTCGTAATCTATCGCCAAACTTTTCTTCGATCACCTCCGCCAGCTGACGAGACAGGGGGGCTGACCCTCCTGACCTGATTCCTATACTGGTTTGAGGGGTAACCACTGTGGACTGAGTGGAGGCATTTTTATTCCCGTAAGTGTGATACTTTCCTCCGTGGTGACAGGGAGCTTGAAGTTCGAGACTTCTTTGGTGGGGACCTTTCCCTTTTTACGAGTGTTCACCATGATCACTGTTCTTTATAGAGAAAAAACTAGGAAAACTAGTCGTTTCCCATAGACGACGCCAGATTGTGCGTGCAGGATCTTGCACAATATAAAAAACGAGAACAGATCTTTCCCTTGGTGAACTCGAGTGGGTCAGTTGAGTGATCAACCACGCTGCTTGGGACAGCATGTGAGGTCCGGTAGAAACCTAGAACGGTAACGGAAAACCCTCGTGAACTGAAGGAATGATCCAGTAAGGCTGGGAAAAGGTCCCCGGAACAAAGGAGGACAAGTTAGAATGGCGCCGGAGTGTTTTTCGGCTTATCCCTTCCGACGATCAAGTCAGTTTTTGAAAGGGAGAGGAAGAATAAAGCACTGAGTATATTTCGTAGTAAAAAGTCTCTTGTTGCATACCTTTTTGCCTTTTATGAGGAATATTTATACCTCAAAAGCTCATGATTGCTATCAGTGTTGTCAGTAGATGATCATTAGGTAGAGGCAGTGTGCGCACTGATTCTGATGAGGAATGTCTTCATTTCTTTAACTGCTCGGGGTGCCGAGCAATCAATGCTTGTCATCGGGCTGCCGACTGTCTAATGATCTCCGCTCGGGGAGGATGTAATAAATGCCCAGCCTTAGAGACATTTATTGTCTTTCAATTCCGAGCCTTACCGCATTGAATGCGGTCTCATCAATTGAATGATGTAATTAAATGTTTGTTTTCACAAGTCGCGTGTCAGTAAGGGCATGCGGTCTTTCTGTCTCTGATGTGACAAAATTTGCCACGCGTCTATCCCTTATTGGCTGTGGACCCTGCCTTCCTGTTCCTTCTGACACCAATTGTGTAAGACGAGACCATGATAGCTAATCTAGACTAGCCTAGGCTAGTGACCTGTACATCAATAACTTATACTGGAGCAGAGAAAAAGGCATCTTGGACGGGTACATCTCGGTACCGAGGGAATGCACATCTCGATAATGAGGATAGGTACATCTCGAGCCGAGGGAAGCCGTACATGATGATCGAGGTACAATACAAGACCGAGGTACCATATTAGATCGAGGGATACGTGTCGGTTCGTAAAACGTACTCGACACGTATCAAGCACCTCGGGGCGAGGGATTTATAAGCCAATGGTACGTGATCTCAGTTAACAGTATTTGTAGTGACGCCCGAGGACACGTGTCTTTATCTTGGAGTATTTCAGAAAAGTCCCATCAGATTGTTAGGTATCGGGGGAAAGAGAGAGAGGAGGGAGAGAGGGAAAGAGAGAGAGAGTTGCTAGTCTTTTAAAAATGGGAGAAAGGATGGACGAGATGAGTTGCTAGAAAAATGAAAGAGATAGGTTGCTGGGGTCTTTTAAAAATGGGTTGTTGGGTATCGGAGAAAGAGAGAGAGAGGAGAGAGAAAGGGAAAAAAGAGTTATTGTATGAGATAGAAAAATTAAGTTAGACGAGAGATATGAGTTTTTGTATTAGTTAGTATGAGATAAGGAGAGAGAGTTAGACGAGAAAGAGGAATGTTAGGAAAATTTGGTATGAGAACCGTCGAATCAAAAATCTTGAAACAATTTGAGCCGTGAAAAGCTGCAGACAAACCAATCTAACTATATTATTATATAGATAATAATCTTTCTATTATATTTTTTTTGGGAAACTTAATATATAATATTTAATCTTACTACTAAGGGCTAAATTTTGAATTACAAGGATTTTTTAAGGTGATGTCACCCTTTTCTGTTTTAATTATTGACGGTCATGGAATGGAAGGGTGTCCGTGTAATGAGTTTTAAATGTGAAAGAGTGTCACTATAATTAATAAAATGTGGGGAAGATGTCGATGTCATTAAGAAAAAAATTTAGAGATTTGTTTGTTTAGCACGAGAATGATAGAAAATACAAGAAAGATAATATTTTTAAAATTTTTATGTGTTTGGTTTGCATGAAAAAGAAAATGATAGAAAAAATAATTTTCTTTCATGTTTGAATTTTCTTACAAATAATCAACTTTTTTTTTTATAAAAAACACAAGGAAATGCAAGAAAATTGTGATCTATAACTAACTTCCTATTTTACCCTTAATTTTTCTTAAAATATTTTATTAGTTATAAATTACAAAAAAAATTGGTATGAATTTGATTAATTATATAATTTGACCCAAAGACCTTTGTGTTAGTGATTGTCCTAAACTTAAGTTTTGACCCACTTTTTAAAAAATTTTAACTTTCAATTATAATTACATATTTTTTTCCTTTATAGACCGATTAAATATCATTAAGGTTAGTTTAGACAATTATAAAAAGCTTCTTATAACTTTTATTTCTTTCAAACAATAGATTATGATCTTTTTAAAACTTTCTCGTAAACTTTTCATTCTAATCAAATACATATATAAAAAACTATTTTCTATCATTTTTTTTTTACTTTATTTTCTATCATTTTCACTTTCAATCATTTTTTTCTTCCTAATCAAACAAACTCTAGGGTCCAAATGATTTTTACCTTTTTGTTTTTATCATTGGAATCATATATTTTTTCAATAAAATTTAAACTTTTAATCTCTGAACGATATTCGGACAAATGAGATAACTTGAGCGCTTATCTAAGATACAATTAAGGTCCGTAGCTTTTTTTCTTCTTTGGAAACATTATGGTCCACGATTGTATATATTAAAGATGTACATGCTTACCACACTAGAATAAATTTTTTTGATATTATATTTAAATTAATGTATAAGTATAAATTTTAGTTTGATTAATTTGTAATTATTATTTATTAAAAGAAGTATAATTTACCTAGCTAACAGTCACTACGACCCTAGATAAAATGGTTCCGCACTCACTCACTCACCCACAACACACGATAGAAAGATGGGCGGAGACACAGAGAAGATGATAGTAGTAGGCCTTGTTTGGGGAGCCACAAACGCATTAATGCGCCGAGGCGCGCTCATATGGGACCAAACCGTCAAGTTCACTTCTCATTCAAACACGACCCAGAACCCCATCCTCAGGACCCTTCGAAACTGGCTTAATCTTCTCTGGATTTGGCAGTACTCTGTGCCTTTCTTGCTGAATCTATCTGCCTCAGCTACTTTTTTCGCCATTCTGAGTGACTCACCAATCTCTTTGGCTGTTCCTGTGACCAATGCGACGACGTTTGCTGCTACTGCGGTGTTTGGGATGGCTCTAGGGGAAGAAACTCGTGTTGGGTTGGCTTTGTTTGGTACTTTTCTTATTGTTCTTGGTGTCTATGTTTGTATCATGTGATTCGATCCTGACTATTCATTGTTGACTTTTAGTGTTTGTTTGAGAATTTCAAGGGAACCCTGATTGTGTTTTGGATAAATGATCTGTTTGGTTGCTGTGAAAATTGAGAACAAAAATCAAAGGAATGAAAGTTCGAATTTTTATTATTTATTGCATGATTATATGCTTAGGTACTCCAAAACTGGGGGAATTGACTCTTTATTGTCTTTCTTTGTGTCTCTGTTTGTATAATGTGATTAGCTAGCAACTGCATAATGTTAGTTTTCCAATGTTCAAATTGCCCGTGCTAACAAATAAAAAATTCGAAAGTAAAAATATGTGTATTTAGAGACTGTATGACATAAAAAATTGCCAAATAGAAAAATTAAGAAAAAACATTGATAAGTATAATATGGGCCCATTATTTTTTTTAAAAAAATTGATAGAATACAAATCAAAATAATCTCAAATATGACCATTTAATTATTGATTGATATCAAAATGGTAGTAAATTCAAAAATCATTGTGGTATAAAAATAATCAAATAAATATGAGATAGAAAATAAGGAAGGGGATAAGAGATGAATTGCATCAAAAAATATAATAAACAACATAAACAAAATCTAAATCGATTAAAATTAAATTTTTAACACTCTATCGGGTTAAATTACACTTTTTGTCCTCATAGTATGTTGATAGGTTACAGAATGCTCGTACCTCTAACATTATCAAATTGAGAAACTGAATACATAAAATTTGAGTTCCATAAAAAATTCAAGCAAAATTTTCTAAAAACACAATTATACAGAACTATTACTACTAATGCCACCATTACCATTATTACCATTTAACCTAAATTTTGATAACTAATCAAATTTTGTGCTCAAATTGCAATTAAATCTAACGAAGTCAACTATTTAAATTAATTTTGCTATTCAATTCAAATTAAATTTCATCAACTAAGTTAATTTTATGTTGCACAAATTTGTCCCGAGAGAGAGAGAGAGAGAGAGAGAGGGGGGGGGGGAGGGATATCTGGGTAAGGCTTCAAGATTATCGATGATTGATCACCGTGTTTCCGATGGTGCCTCAATAGTGTTGTTGTGAAAAGATAGGGTTTCGGTGAGAGAGAGAAAAAAGAAAGGGGCGCCGGTGGTTACAGGGGCTACTCAAGCCAATTTGAGGCCTAAAACAAAAATATTAAATAAAGACCTTTTTATTTTTAGTATTATTTTTTTTAAAAAATTAATTTATTTTTAATTTTCTATGTGAGTGAGAGACAAAAGAAGGATGTGTTAATATTGTCGAGAAGAGATTTCAACTTTTATTTTTGTTTTTTACCACAGAGGAGAGAGAGTGTTTAATTTCAACTTTTGTTTTTTTTTTTTTATTTATTTTTACTGGATGAGAGAGAGAGAGAGAGTGAGAGAAAGAGTGGGTAGGAGTAAATATGAGTTGATTTTTGAGTTTTTTTTTTAATTTCTAAGTTTTTAATATTATAGATCGGATTATAGGCCTAAATTATTGCAATAATAGTTTTGATTTGATTTAATTTTTTGGAGCTTTTTTGTAGGGCTTAAAATTTAATGAATTTAATTTTTTTCGTGGGTTAGTGATGTATATAAAATTATGGGGTTTTTTAAAAATTTGGAGCTTAAAACCCATGTTTTTTTCCATACTGTTGGGTCGGCCCTGGGTGGCTATTCGTTGGGGGCAAAGATCGAGAGGAGGAACAAAGAGAAAAAGAGAGGGAGGCAAAGGAGAAAGGGGATATCAAAAATAATTTGGTAAAAAGATCGAGATGGATGTAGATGATAAAGAAAAGTGGAGTAAATAATATAGTATCATCATTATATTGAATATTCTGAAGCAAAGATGTGAAAAAGTGATTTCTCTGATATGGAAAAGATATTATTTAGAACAGGATGAGCGGTGGTCAAAATTTAAATATAGACATTAATTTTAGATTTGGACAAAATTTTAGATTTAGATAACATTGATTTTGGGCAAGATTGAGAGGCGAATTCAATGTAGGGGTGTCAATTTTGGAAACTAAAAATTTTGAAAAGCAAAAATATTTCAAAAGAGTTAATGTGGTACATAGGATCAAAACGATCTGAAACGTCAATAGTTTGAGACAGATTGAGATAACGTCGTCCGTTGATGACTTTTTTTGTTACGAAACGATTTGGACTGTTCTTTGTCTTCAAAATAAAAAATTTGTTCTACTTTATTATATAGATTATATGCTTAGGTACTCCAAAACCGGGGGAATTGACTCTTTATTGTCTTTCTTGGTGTCTCTGTTTGTATAATGTGATTAGCTAGCAACTGCATAATGTTAATTTTCCAATGCTCAATTAAGGATATTTTCAGGCAACCATGATTGTGGTTAAAACAAATGGCATGTCTGGCTGCTTAATGAATGAGGAAAAAAAGAGGGAACCAAAGAATTCTGTGTTGTATGGATTATTGGCTTGGCTGGTCAGGAAATCAAAGAACTATTGGTCCATGAGGAAACTGAGGAAGTTTTGGTTTGTGGGAATTTAGGTTAAGTAGGAGTATAGGACTACTTTGATATTTACGGGTAATGTTAGAGCAGGTATGAAGTAAGTACAAGGCTCAAAATGATGCCTGAAAGTTACTTCTAATTTTTCTCACCCAAAACTTGAATGCTTTCTCACAAGACTGTAGACATTAGGGAGTACCTTGCCGTTAAGGAGTATGCTTCTGATAGCCTTAAAGAGTAGGGTAGATGAACTAGGTTTTTGAATGGCTATAGAGATAGATAGGCATGGCATGCACAATACTGAAGATTTAAGAAATAACATCCCCATAGAATGATTGTAGCTAAAAGTGCAGATGTTAAAGTAGTTGGATTGCAATGCAAAGATGGACAGATCAAGTCTAGCTTAGGAGATTCATCAATCCTGCTGAAGGACAGGAGGAATGCAAAGGAAAGAAAAAAGGTCGGATGAGGCCATGGTAGAAGATATAGTTGCCAAGTGTTTAGCCCATAACGTAGATATAGGTTGGTGGCCAATTTGGTGGAAAAGAATTCACTATTCATCGTGTGGATCCTAAGTTGTTGGGATTAGGATTGTGAAGATATACATTGGACTGTGGATGAAGACTGCTCTTGATTTTCATGTTAGTTAGAAACTTTAGAACAGTGAGTGTCCATAATGCCAACATCCCGATGCAGTGGTACAGTAGTCATTTATTTTGTTTGTTATGTGTGTATATAATTTTTTGATCATCACTCATTTATTGATGTTGAAAACAAGCACTTATTTCCTATAAAAAAAAAGAAGCAAATGTTACATCACAACAAAATTTTATTCTTTCCATGTTCTGGTCCACAGTTATTGGATAGTTTGTAATCAATTGGGACTAGAACTGAAACACTGATACACTACTAACAAACATGGAAACAAGAATTAAATCAATCTGTTGAGTATTCCCTGAACATGAATAATAGAAAATACTGAAGGACAAAGAAACATCAAATAGCTTGGTTTTAATTGTAAACGAAAAGGGGCTGCTGCTTTGATCATTGATTTCCATGTTAATATTGCGGCTTAAAACATTCAGGAGGCATCTGTCCATTGAACCGCTTAGTATCTTTGCAGTAGTTGTAGATCATGTAGTTATCTCTTACCCATTTCATCTGACCTAGCTTACCATAGCTTAATTGTCTGTATGTGGGAGAGGTCCACCAGTTGGCAGGGGTAGGGGAGGCACATTGTGAAATGCTTACTGGTCCATCCCATTGGCAAGCCCTTGCCCTAAAACAACGGAATCTTGCTATAAAGGGTGCTATGTTCCAGTCAATCTTAACAAGGCCACCTCTAGTTGCCCAATTATCAGCATTCCACAAGCTGGAGTAAATCCTCATCCCTTGTTGGTTTGGATAGGCAATTCCCTCACTCTGATAATTTCTGAATACTCGAATTGGCAGACCATCAATGTACCACCTGAAACCAAGATGATGACTATTAGGTTTGGGAATTTTTTGGCATGTGAATTTTCATGGATAAAATTCTCAAAAGTTACAATTAATTTCAAAACATAGCCCCAAGGTTTTTGCTCATAGACAACTTGAGCTTGAATAGTGTATGGTTGACACATAGTTAATGCTTGTGGTCCGAAATTTTAAAGCAATAAAAATTTGTATTTCGCAGTAAGTTTTTCAAAACTCTGCTGAATTTTTGGTCCTAAATTAGAAAAGGTGAAGTCGATGTTCTACGGAAACTTAGGAAGTAAGAAAATTGGGGCCCCCGGGGGGGGGGGTCACGTTAGGTTAACTTACACAACTTCTGTGGGGTTCCAATGGATGGTGTAGTTGTGGAAATCGGCAGTTGGGTCAAACCAAGGGCGAAATTGCTGCTCTCTGTTTCCAATTCCTTGAGTATAGATGTTTGTGTGGATAGTATAAGGTTGTCCAGATGAGTTCCCTAAGAATTCAAAGTCGATCTCATCATGTTTGGTGCCAGTAGATGACAACTGCCAAATGTCAATATTGAACAAAAATGAATTAGTCATCATGCTTGGGGTCTCAAAAGTCTCACTAACCATCGCAGACATATTCTACAAGTCTGGTAATTAATTTGGAAAGGAAGTAATAGGATAAACTTTGATTACATTCCCTGACATTTGCCAAAATAACAGTCACCATCTGACATTCCATAAATGGAACCCCAATTAGAGTTTTTCTACCTTCATTTGGCTTGTCCAATTTGGACAAAATTAGTCAAAAATAAAACAGTAAAAACAGAGTGAGGAGCAACCCCAGTAGCAACGAGCCCCCCCCCCCGGAAAAAAAAAAAAAAATCCCCCACCCTCCCCTTCACCCTATTTTTGCCCCAACATAAATATTTTGGGAGATCAAATTTTGAAGATTTATTTTGATCAAATTTTGCACCCACGTAGTTTGCTGTGACAGTTCCTGCAGAGTTCCCAGGTACCAACTTGATTAGCATCTCAATGCTTCCAAATAGGAATGCTCCCTTTGATTGAACACCAGAGCCTGGAAAATAAAGGCAAACAATAGTCTGTTTAGAGCTGAGATACTAGGACAAGTTGAGATCAATAACTTTAAAGAATAGGAATCAAAAATACCTTTAGAGAAAAAAACATATATAAATCAAAAGTCAGATAATATCCCAGTCAATTTCTCAATCTCCAGAGGTTTGTGTAGGTTATTTTAGTGACATTGATTAAGTAATGAGTATGATAGAATGGATCAGCAGATCTCCTCTTTCAATTCTCTACTTTTGCAATGCGTAGTTCATAGTAGATTGCATCCACACACACAAATCAGAAACAACAGTAATATATGGCTTTCACTCCCTCTGGCATGATCCAGGCCTTGATCAACTGGTGATTCAAGTATGGCTTGTATGCCCTGATAAATTTGAAAATCTAATGCTTCTTTCATAGAATGGCATGTCCTTAGTGGAATGATTTAACCTATCCCAGTTACAGCTATATGCAGCAATCTGATGTCTCCCTCAACTGATATGATTATGCAACTTGAATTTATGGTAAATTTCTATATCAGTGATTTTATATGCTGTAGGCACTTAGCATTTCCATTGCTAACTTTTCTGGTATGATAGGTCATTATTGCGAAGATTGTATCTAAGATTTATGGCTTCTTAGTAAACATTTACTGGGAATTTGTTATATTTGAGATACATAAAAAGGCAATAGTTAAATGAATGAGAAGTTGAGAGCATATTTACCTGATGTTCTATCCAACACAAGTTGAAGATCATCACCATTGCCCAGAATTGAAGAATGCTGAGCACCCCAATTGAAGTACATGCTCTCGGAAAATGTGCCATCAGCTAAGCCTGGATGAAATGCTATTGCTAAGATGAACATAGCTAGAGGTAAAGCTCGAAAACTTGCCATTCCAACCCAGTTTTCTTCTTTGCTTCCTTTACTATCTGAGTTGGAAATAGAAAATGCTTTTGTTCTATGTTTGTGAAACCTTTAAATAGCCTATAAACCATATGTCTTGCTAAGATAAACCCTGTTCTGATTAGTTTGTTTCATCTTGTAGAGTACCTTGAACTTGTCATGGTTTTGACATTCCTACTTTATTATGTCCAAAAAGGATGTCTAATCAACTTTCTGGTATTAGTTGTGCTCCTCAAATGTAGAAAAATAGTTTGGTGATAAATAAGGTAATGCCATTTTCATATTAGTTGCTTAATTTCGAACCATACCTCTAACTTGGCTATTTTTTTTTTCCGGTGTTTATTTCGGGCAGGTCAAATTTGAAATCCTAATTAGAGCTGTAAAAGGCTCATGTCTTGTCATGTTAGAATTTGTCTAATGCATAGTCAGGATCATGATATATCGGGTTTATTCCGTATGTAAATCGTATTTAGCCAGGTTCGTATCTATCCAAAAAGGTTTTACCAAACCAAATCATTTATGATCGGAATCCATTAATGCTACACCTGTACCCGTTTGTGTTCAAGCTGGGTTGAGGTGTCCTGTTATGAGTGTATTTGGATGTTAATTAATATTGAAAGAATATAGCAACTGAAAATTCCAGCTGGGACGCGGTGGGGTTAGGAAATTTGACGTGCATGGGACTAATAAAGAGGCTGACCAGCTGTGATGAGCTATGGGGAGAGAGAGAGAGAGGAGGGTAGACGTGCATACCTCAAGAGATTTTGTTATAGGGACTATATATATATATATTTCTCCAGTATTATACCTCCCAAAGTCGACCCTGTTTTTGAAAAGAGGATTACAACCATTAGTCAAAACATATATATCACGAGTTTGAGTTACAAAAATAATTTTTTTTTGTCCACCAGACTTAAAATCAGGTTACTCGAATTCAGCCTATGATCAATTTCTTCAAAGCCTGTTTGAGATCATGAGTTGAATTTCCTTTTGTTTAATTTGATCCGATTTTTAAGCTCGTGCTTTGCTCGATTTGACTGAAAAGGTAACAGTGAATATGAGACTAAGAAAAACCAAGCTATTCGGACTTAATTTGTGCTTGACTTGTTTAGGGGCTTGGTTGAAATTGACACATTTTGATTTTGCCAAGGTCTGAGTAACGTACTTGTCTGTATATAAATAGGAAAAGATTGCGGTACCAAAAAAATGTCACCGTTAAGAGTCACAAGTTACATCTTGCAATGGACAAATTACAATTATTCATTGCAAGGTGATTGATTATAAAATGTCGTGGTCGATCATGATTATCTCGATCAATGGTAATTTCATCTTTAAAAAGTGTAATTATACCATTAAAAGTTATATTTGTCATGATGGATCGCGATGAGTTATAATTTAGACTCTTAAAATATAGTTTACCTTAAAATACATTGTAGGTATTATTGATAAATGATTTAAGTCTGTCAAGAAACGAACTTAAAAAATTATTTAAGCTCGATCGGTTTGTTTAGAAAATGAGCCCAAAATAAGTTGAATTCAAGATAAACTCAACTAATTCGGTTCGATTGTCAATCCAGTAGTCCTACTTCTATGAGCAATATTGTTGATTTCATGTTTTTTTTTCTAGTAATTGTACTGGCATGTGTATTCTTCATTAGCCAAAATCAATGATACAAAGTAGAGAACTGCTTTATAAATGCATGGCTATTGTAGAATCGAGACAATTGTTGATGATGATGCTTAAGTTTTGTTGTTCATCTGTATGAAATTTTTAGAGCAGAAGGGAAATCAGATAAAGGAAGAAAAATAAGTGTTTCTTCATCCATATAAAGTTCTGTTGTTCATTAAGATTAAGCCCTTTGGTGCTTGAATATTCTCTACTGAATCTTAACCCACATTCCACGGCTAGGCACACCACGATGAACAACGAAGAGCAGATAGTAGCCCGGAGGAGCAAGTGTTCCTGATGATGGTGCCACCGCCATGACTAGCATTCTCGTCACCATTGTTTTTCCCAAAACAAGCATTCTCTGATTCTGAGAAAACCCATGTGTTGTGAAGGGTGGCGATAACATCATCACCTTAATATCTGAATCCTCGACTTGATCCCAATTAAACACGATATGAAGCTTGAATTGCTGCCCATAATTCAACTGACTGTCGGAATAATCTTCGACGATTTCTGGCCTGTATGAATTGAGTTCTGGATCCAAGTAAGGAGGTGCAAACTTTTCGACTCTCAATTCGGTCGGAAACTTGGCGTTGAAGTCATAATTAGGGTTTGTGTTACTGCCTGCAACTAAAACTTGCCCATCTGGTAACACCGCAGATGATGAATGGTACATTCTGGGAATTGTCGTGGGTTCAAGTTCCTTCATCCTTTCACCTGTTTTGAATTGCATCCATATTATTACTCAGGGTTAGAAAATAGTTGTGATTATCACTTTAATACTACATGCCCCGGGTAATAATAAAAGATATGTCAAGTTTTACTTTGAAAAATCACCTCTATTCTTCCTGGGGCTGTAAATCACCGGCGTCAGGTTCGGGATATCGGCTTGAAACCAAGCCGCTGTCCCGGCCTGTGCACCGTTGATCATTAGAAGATCTCCGGTAGGAAGAATCAGCAGATCTCCCATGACTCGTCGGGATGGCATCTCCTCTATCTCCCATTTAGCATTTTTTTTGGTGACACTTATTCGGCCACAATCTTGCAGTGCTGGCAAAAACTTTCTCGGCTCGTTCATGGAGAGTTGATAAGCTTCGGGTTTATTCCCACCACAGACCAAGACTTCCACATCAATGGCGTTAGGGTTTTTGGAATTAAGGGTTATTGGAAGAAGGGCAGACATGCCGGAAGACGGGTAGTTTCGGGCACCACCTGGCAAGACCGGAAGCTCCCGGACGGTTTTTCCGGTGTTAGGGTCGATGATGATGGCCCGGTTGTTGGCGAAAATGAAGAGGTTTCCATCGGGGATAAGGTAAACGAAAGGGTAGAGATTGTTCTCATGGGCATCCGTGGTGTCTTCGAGGAAGGGAAGACCAATCTGCTTGATCGGAAAATTCAGTGAGTTTGGTGGAATGATGTCGTAGTTGTTTGCCCAGCGACCTCCGACGACCACAAATCTACCATCTTCTAGCTTTTGTGTAGTGGAATACCTGTGAGATCAAGGCATGAAAAAATATGTTACTTTTCCATTTACAAGAACACTTGAAAATACAACTAGCTAGCAACATGCGTACTGATACACACGTATGTAAGGTGACAATTTTCGACTAGGCATCTACATTAAACTGAACAAAATTAGTTGGTTATAGCTAATTTATTATTGAAACAAACCGAAAATGACACAAATCATTAATATAAATAATAAACGAATCAGATTTATGTGAAACATAAGTGTTTTGATTTTGCCACGACAAAACAAGTTTAATGTGTTTTTTGAAAGAAATGTTGTATATTTTTTTATTTCTTAATATGATGTTGTTTCAATCTTTGTAAAATTGAAAAAAAAAAAAATTACTCTTTTTACTATGACTAAGATCGAGCCGATATTTAGTTCAGGATAACTTTTGGGTGGTATATATGGCTGAGAGAAAAATGAATCCTAGTTACGAGTTACGCGTCTTCACCCGAACATGACATAATTAATTAATTTAATATGTCAAATATGATTAATTAACTATCTGGTGAAGATTGACTATATCTATCGATTAATTAACAACTAGATTGAGACTAAATGCATCGCAAGTGATCATGTATCCATACCATCTTTCAGCAGAGAGTGCAGCTGGGTTTTCCTTGAACTCACAGTCCTCGCACGGAGCAATCATTCTAAGGCCTCTTATACCTCCATTAGCACCGCCAGCGTTGATTAAGTCACCGTCGGGGCTGAGGCCTCCGGCTGAGCACCATGTATCACTTGTAATCTGCAAGCAAATCAACTAAGACTTTTAGCAACAAAAAAAAAAAAAACAACAACTAGGACTTTTAGCAAAGGAAAATAGAGAAGTTACAAATCATCTCTCTCAAGTCTCAACATTGATTGATAATACAAACTATTAGGCCTCTTTTTGGGTCAATCTAGCATTTCGTTTTTGGAATCTGACCTGTGAATAAGAAACTGTTAGCTCCTTAAAAGTCTAATATATATGGGCCTGTTTGTTTCAAGTGTTTAGTTGGAAGGAATTGGAGTATCATTCAAATCCAATCCAACCCCATTTGATGGACCAAGCCCAAAGGCCTAGTACAAATTATAAGCCAATTCAAGTTTATAGCCCATCTCTAAGAAATCCAGCAAGTCCAATTCAATATAGTCAACTCGAACAAGCACATCAAGAATCAAGGAGCTATATCAGCAGGAAATATGCAAGGTTATTCAAGAGTCTCCTCCTAACTACCTTAGAGTAAGGTTCATCTAAGAGTCTTCTCCTTGTCACCTTAGAGTAAGAGTTATCTCAAGAGTCTCCTCTATCACCTTGGAGTAAGGGTCATCTAAGAGTCTCCTCCTCGCCAAGTTGGTGTAAGGGTCATCTCCAGAGCCTCCTCTACCACCTTAGAGTAAGAGTCATCCCAAGAGCCTCCTCCTCACCACCTTGGTGTAAGGGTCATTCCAAGAGCCTCATCCAATCTACCCTGAAAAAAGTCAACCCTCACCTCATCCTTTGACCGAGTATTATAGAGAGTATTGTAACTGACTCGCCCGTTGAGAAAAGGTTGCCACCTTCACCGAATCAGCTATTTAATTACCATTAAATCACCCCAATCCGTTATGACTGTCAGACTAGCCATTCAATTACTATGCATTATAAGACGACTATAAATTGTAAGTCTCATCAACACTTGGGGGGCAGATTATACTCAATTGAGCACATCTCTCCTCTCCCTCTCCCTCTCTAAACTTGGAACTCTCTGCTCTCCCTACACACTTGAAGTAATAAAAATACCTAATGACGCTAGCCATTCAAAGTAGACGTAGGCCACGTTGACCAAACCACTATAATTTTTATCTTTTCTCTACTTTAATTACTGCATTTATTACTCATACTTGATAGGTGGTGTACAAACCTAATTTATACATCATCAGTTTGGCGCCGTCTGTGGAAACCGACAAAAATTCTCACTTTTGAACACTTTCTTTGTTGAATCTATGACGATCACCACCAGATTGATGAATCAACTTGAGGATAATCCACCATGAGAGAAGGAAGTAGATCTTCCACCAACCAATCCTATCCCAAATGCGCGGCAGATGCTAGAGACCATGAAGCAACTTGTGACCCAAAACCAATAGATCTTTCAACTTATGCTCGTCGGACAATGAGCAACACAGCCTACTGGACCCCAAGCCAGAGGAACTCCACGCCCTAGGTGTCAAGGAGCTCCAGACGCTCCCTTGGGAGCACCTTTTGGCGCCCCACATAGGAGAGCCCACTATAAAGGGCCTCCATCTCCTCCAGCTCCCACTACTCATGGTGAAGACCCTCATTTTCCAAGAGGATGAGGGCAAGAACCAAATTCTGGAGCACGAGAGTCATTTTCATGATAATTCCAATGAAGCCTCCAACTATTGAGACGAAAAAATAAAAGAGGTACAAAATCAACTAGGCAACGTCTTTAAAGCTATGAAGGAACAAGGACCCGAGACAGTGGCCTATCTCGTTAGGTTACCCGACACACCCTTCGTGCCTAACATGGCAAATTACCTACTTCCTCAGAAGTTCAAAATGTCATTCGTCGAAATCTTTGACGGTACGAAGGACCCACTTGACCACCTTGAAACCTACAAGACCTTAATGCCGCTGCACAACGTCCCTGACGAAATTATGTGTAGGGCATTCTCAACTACCTTGAAGGGATCAACACGACAATAGTTCGCCAAACTCACCTCGGCCTTCATAGGCTTCTTCGTCGAACTGAGCAGATTCTTTGTGACACAGTTCATTGGTGGACGCTGCCAGCAGAAGCCTTCCACCCATCTGCTCAACATAAAACAGGAGTGAGATGAGAGTTTAAGGAGTTACCTCACTCGTTTTAACATGGAGGTCCTCCAAATCGAGGAGCCCAATGACAAAGTCACCATGATCGCCTTCCTAGGAGGCCTTCACTCATCGAGTTTCCCTGTTTCAATAATGAAGCGACCACCAAAAAGTATGTCAGAACTATTGGCAAAATGTCAAAAACATATGAATGCTGAGGACATCAACAGGTCCAGGCGAGGTGAATCATTTCATCGATCACCACAAGCTTGACATATCTCTGTTCTGTTTTCAAGCAGGTAGCTTATCTCTAGCTTAGCGGCTCTCTCGCGGATCACTAAAAGTTTGACTTATCTCTGCTCTGCTCTCAAGCAGGTAATCTATCTCTAGCTTAGTGGCTCTCTTGTTGGTCGCCAAAAAAAATTGGCCTATCTTTGCTCTGTTCTCAAACAAGCAGCCTATCTCCAGCTTTGCGACTCTCTCGCGAGTCTCCAAAAATGCTTAGCCTATCTCTGATCTGCTCTCAAGCAGGTAGCCTATCTCCAGCTTAGTGGCTCTTTTGCGGGTTACTAAAAACTTCATCTGTCTCTGCTCTGTTCTTAAGCAAACAATCTATACCTCAAGCTTAAGAACTCTTTCATGGGTTGCCAAAAGCTCGGTCTTAAAAGATGTAGCTCTCTCACGAGCAATTCTCAAATTCTGTTTTTGCTCTAACACAAATATCCTACCTTTCTCTCCAGGTAATTATGTTAGATATTTTAATGTTTGAAATAATATTATTTTTGTCATCTCTAGCCAGACTCTTGAAACTCAGGTCATCTGTAACTCAAATAACTACATTAAATTGAATGTCAACAATTGAGCCTCATCTTTTTGTGTCTATGTGGCACCGCCACCTCGTTGCTGCAACACCCCTACCCTTAACACTTAGCGCAAACAAGCCCTCATAAGCGTCCAACCAGTACAACAACCCCTCTTGCGCAGCGTAGCATAACAGCTGCACCTGCGGCACCATACTTCAGCGTCTCCAACTCTCTTAAGCCGACAATATCGGCGCTCAGCATGGGGCGCCTAGCTGCCACCTCCTTTGTGTAAACAGGCTGCTCGCCCAACACCTCCATATTAGTGGAGCCCCATCTCCCTTTCCTTTACATATCCCTCTACGCAGGCCAACTCGCCCAAGCTTCCCAAGGCCTCCTACCCGTCCAAGCTCCTCAAAGGGGCCCAAAGCCTCCTCCTCGTGGGCCTCAGATGCACGCCTAGTAGCGATGCCCAACGATGCCTCCTCCCTCTCCTCTCTAGGAACAACATCAAATCTTTCGAGCTCTTCTCCAAGATTTGCAGATCTTCGCATATGTTCTCCACCATTCGACATTGTTTAAAGAATTTCAACTCAAGAATCTCACCCCTTTGTCCTTGGAGGATTTCAAGAAGAAATTTCCCTCTCACTTCTCTTGAGGGAGTTTATATAGTCAATAGAGTGTTACAAGTAAAAGGAGTCTACTAGAAGGGATAAGGTCGCCGATCAAAGAAGTTTTCAAAAAATTCGAATTTAAAAAGGGTTGCATGTTATTTTGACTGTAACTTTTGATCCAAAACTCCAAACGGGACTCATAATATATCAAATCAAAGCTCTCGGCGAGTCCTATAATACGCACAGCCTTTGATTGTGATTAATGTTGTAAAAAGTCCAAAAAGGGCCCAGAAATTGATGTTTTGGCCTCCTGAAGTTTTTCTTTTTTAAAAAAAAATTAGTTGCTTGTTCGCCTAGGACCTTGTTTGCTCGCCCAGGACACAATGTGCTTGCCCAAAAGCTGCATGCTTGCCCAAAACCGTGCACCCAACTTCCTGCTCGCTATTTTGACTATATTTTTGCTCTATTACTCCAAATAGGGGCCATAATATATCAAATCGAAGCACTCGGCGAGCCATATAAGACTCATAGCCTTTGGTTGTAACTAATGTTGTTAAAATCCCAAAAAAGGCCTAGAAGCATATGTTTTGGCCTCCCGAAATTTTTCTAGTTATGCCCGTTAGCCAAAAATTCAAACTCAAACTGAATGTTTTGCTTTCCAAGTTCTGTTAGACGCAGGGCATTGGGGGGCAAATGATGGGCTAAGCCCAAGGGCCTAGCACAAATTATAAGCTCGGTCCGAATTTATAACCTATCTCCAAGAGATCCAGTAAGTCTAGCTTAGTGTGGTCACCCCAAACAAGCTCATCAAAAATCAAGAAGCTATATCAGCAGGGAGTATGCAAGGTCATCCAAGAGTCTCCTCCTCACCACCTTGGAGTAAGGGTCATTCTAAGAGTCTTCTCTATCACCTTGGAGTACGAGTCATCCCAAGAGCCTCTTCTACCATCTTGCAGTAAGAGTCTTCCAAGAGTCTCCTCCTCGCCACCTTAGAGTAAGGGTCATCCCAAGAACCTCATCCAATCTGCCCAGGAAGAAGTCAACCTCACGTCATCCTTTGATCGAGTCCTATAGAGAGTATTGTAACTGACTCGTCCGTTGAAAAAAGGTCGTCACATCAGCTATTTAATTACTATTAAATCACCATAATCCGTTATGACCAACAGACTAACCATTCAATTACTATGCATTATGAGGCGATTATAAATCGTAAGTCTCACCAACACTTGGGGGAAGATCACACTCAATTGAGCACATCTCTCCTCTCCCTCTCTAAGCTTGTAACTCTCTGCTCTTCCTACACACTTGAAGTAATAAAAATACCCAGCGACCCTAGCCATTCAAAGTAGACGTAGGTCACGTTGACTGAATCACTATAATTCTCGTCTTCTCTCTACTTTAATTACTACATTTATTACTTATACTTGACAGGTGGTGTGCAAACCCAATTTATGCATCATCAGCATTGGTTTGATACACATATATATGGTTTTAATCCCATTAGTAGTTTAATAGCTTCCTACACCATGTTTGATTGATGTCTTAATTGACACTGTAACACCCCAGGAGGTGTTAATTACAAACAATATGATTGGGTTAAAAAGGAGAAAACAAACACAATATTAGAAGAACTATTTCCGCATATCGTATAGGCTTGTATCATTTTATAACTGAAAACGAACATGCCCATTAGGATTTGTAAATTTGTTGTACCAGGAAACAAGGGTATTCAATTGTTATATAAGTATTATAAATTCCTGATAGATAGACAATTTTTTTTTACGGCATTTCAAGAGAACCTTTTCTGTAATCTTATGTTTGACGTTGTTTTGTCTCTACGATTCACTATGGCCGTTGATTTTTGAGTCGAACTATGTATATTTATGTAATTCTATATGTCTTATTTCGAATTATTCTTCTTTTGTGGCATCGTACATAACAATAACAATGATATATATTGCATAAAATTGTTTGCATGGTTGTTATTGGAATAAATATAGATTAACCTAAACGTAGATTGCAAACCTTTAACGTCCTGATATTTGCAGTCTCAATATCATATTCAACACCATGAGCCCAGCAATCCACGATGTTCTTCTCAGCATCAACGACACGACACTGTCCCGGAGGCAATTTAATCGCCGAAGGACCGAGATCGGTGGTGTCAAACCAAACAGCCTTATTGTTTGGCAGCAATTGTATATGCATGGCCGAGACACCGGCATTCTCAGAATCTATCTTCCAAGCTCCGAGGAAGCTGGTCTCGACATCTGGTTTCTCAAGTGCATCGGTCGTGGCATCAGGGTACGGTTCATTGTACCCGGGGTTGGGTAGAAATGAATTGAATGGGTCGAAGAAGGGAATTCTGGCAAACGCAGAGACAAATAGGAGAGGGAGAAGAAGAAGAAGAGCTCTGAACAAGACTGCCATTGAAGAAGAAAGCTTACTTCAATGGGTCCTTGCTCTTTGTGCTCTTGAAAAAATTCTTTTCATTTCCTGCCTTTTATACATGGAATAAGGTGGCAATAGGGTTGGCAAAAATGGTGGATCCTTGGTTGGACAACAAGCCAAAATAATGTGACACACTTCCAAAGCCAGCCAGAAAGATCGAAAGAATATCAAATCTACCATTACACTAGTGTTCCAGGCAAAAAATGAAAAATAAAGCGCATCATGACCAAAGAAAATAAGTTTTTGTAATGGATTATATGATTAATGACTTTTCTTTTTTCCTTTTCCCATTTTAAAGACATTTTAAGAGAGGTTTGGGTTGTTATTTTAATTAGAAATTAAGGCAATGATTTCGTTTTCTTAGCACAACACTAATATTGTTCCATTGTCATCTTTAAATCGGAGGTTTGACTGACAAAAAAAAATATTCATGGATGAAGTAACACTGAATGGATATGATCCCTCAGATGTTCGGAGTTAACGGTGGTAATCAAGCCAAGGTTGATGAGCTTGATTATGCTCAAGCTTGGCTAGATTGTGACTAGCCAAACTCGTGCTTAGCCTGAACTCGACAGATTTTGCTTACAACAGTAGACAACAACAGATGAGTTTGCAATTTATATTGCAAAAAGATGAATGACAGATTTATTGATTTATTTTCTTATTTTTCTCATGGTGGCAGGCTCTGTAATTCCCTGTGAGCAAGGGTCATATTTTGGGAATTTGACATCTCATCATTTTGAGAAAAGTACAGCCACTAGTATTAACTCTAAAAACCCTCTCCATATGAGGAAAGGTTCGTCCTGACTAGACCATATTAAACGCCTGTTCTCCCAGGTGTGTGGATTACATTAAGAGGGGCCAATGTCTGTTTCCCAGGTCAGACCACTACACAAGCTCATCATTATCGTTCATACTCACTTTGATCTAGCATCCAGCTTTGTAAACATCTAACGGGGGTTTAAGATGTCCTTTAATACACTTTCCTTCTTAATTGTAGATTTTCGTTGTGGATCTAGATACTTTCTAGTGCATTTTTGTTCAATGATTAAGGGTGTTCAGACTAGTTTACGCGTAATTCGACTAATTATATTCATGATCTGATCAAATACAGACTATCCACACTAAGATTAGGATATTCATGAGGGATAAATCCCTCATAATCTTGCTCCAAAGAGTTGTCAACATTTAAATTTAGGATATTTGAATTTACAGCTCGCCCTTATTACCATTTAAACTACCCTTAGGATTAGTGTACTTTTATGTGTATATATCCTGTGTTGGTGGGGGAATAACATATATGTAGTGAGTCCTAGTTGAAATTTGCGACATATAATTTCTGATAAATTCAGAAAAAAGTATGTTGATAGGGATCTGAATTCACCCGCAATGTATTAGTAGGAGACCTTCAGGTGATGCATAATTGAGTGCTAGCTCTACCTAGCATTTATGTCGGGGGGGCAAATACAATTGCTATATATGAGCTTTGTGGTGTCTAATTACCGACAATGATCTTTTTGCTTAAAGCATCTCAGTCCGCCAAGATAATGCAAAAGTTTTGGAGACATCCGAGATTGTTTCTTCTCTTTTACCTTGTGTTAGAAAACTTTAATGCTCACATAGTACCAGTTGTCAAAGCTTTTTTTGTGTTCCCTTTTTATCTTCTTTAATAAAGTTAGTACCATTGAACAGGAGCAAAAGAAAAGAAACATTCCAAATATCTGAATCGTACAAAATCAATGTAAATGAATAGCCTCGTTATTGGTTGACGTTTTCTGAAAGTGAACTTCGCGCACAAAATTCCAATCATTATGTCTCAGGTGATAAGATTAATTCCTAATTCCTATTCCAGACGACTATTGTTTGACCTTTCACTCCATCAACGGCTAGCTAGAAGAGGTTAGGAATTAGGAAATATTCTTATCGTAGAGATTTGGAAAGCATCACTTGTATGTAATTTTACTTGCTGAGAGTTTGTTGGTGGCTCAAATCCATGATACTCAAGTCGCTATTAAGCAACATTACTGCGCACCAAGACCAGCTAAATGATGTTACACTAGACATAAATGAAAGCTGAAAGCAATTAAAAGAACAAGGGGTTCTCACTTCCTATACCGTTCAAGAAATGCAACAAGCAAGTTTCATGATTTTATGCAGAAATTCAATCCACCTTCCATTACATGAATCATATCAATTCGGAACTCTGCCACAAGTCCAAGTTGCTTAACTGCAGCTTTGCAAATCCAGCTAGGTATGCTGAAAAAACCGTACGTGTGCACTGAATCTTAAGAAATAGCATTCTAAAGTGACAATTTGAGCTCCAAATCTAATTCTTGGGTGTCACTGGATTCAGAGTTCTGACTGCTTGAACCCATTGAATTTGAATTGCTTTTGTCTTTCTTTCTCCTCTTTTCCACCGAGTCCTATGTGATCAATAGCAAGGACAATTTGTTATGATCGAAGTAACCTGTTCGCTAGTCTTATTGCTTATGTCAATTATGCTGTCACAGTCCAACTTCATTTAAGCAAGTGTGAGTGAAGTGCTTGATAAGTGCAAGCTCTTGAAGTTCATTTTACAAACGCATTTTAAAGCCAGACAGATCATCAAAAGCAAACAGTATTGTACAATGCAAGTCCGGAACAGTACATAGATTTTGTAAAATTTTCAGGGAATATGGCTGATTACCTCAACTTGCAGGTTCAGTAGGTGTCTAGTCATGCTTGGTTGTGCAAAATGTTGGGTCTCTAAGATGGGATTGCCAGGGTTCCATCTGGTTTTTGAGTTCAGCATATTAATCAGAAATGCAGTTAGCATGTTGTAAACCAGGAGGGAGAGAGAGAGAGAGAGAGAGAACAAGTATCAAAGTTCTCCATAAAATCCCTTGTGTGATACAAGAATTTTGGTTGGGGAAAAATAAAAGTACCTTGCTGCAGTACTAGGCTGGGAATCACCATATCTGAAATTTGCTCCTTCTAATTCACTCAAGCCCATCTGTTTATAAAAGTAAAATTCAAATAATTTAGTAGCTGCACAAACTTATGCACATCACTTTTGTTAACTGGGAGTGCCAAGTGTAGTGTAGGTGAAGAGAGGGTAAAGCCAAAGTAGCAACAATATTTGGACCTAATTTTCGGCGTAATTCACTGACCTAATCTGTCATGACGGTTAGATTGACAATAAACTTCATCTAATGACTCACTGCTAATTCAACTTGTGCGCAAATTAAATCCACAAATTAAATTACATTCTAGATCCAAATAACACTACTCAAATACTAATCTTGCCACAACACAACCAATGAAATCCAATCAAGTGGGGACAAACTCGATGAAGAATTAATCAGACTCTCTTCTTACAACATAATTCTTAATGATGATAGGAATGCCAACAAGTAACGAACTTTAACAAGCAGCAAGTATCTAGGGTTTATATCAATCATCAAGTCTGGAAACACTTACAAATAAATGATACTGAGGACATAATTATGAGGATGGGCATGATCATGTCATATAAATACAAGCATCATATATCCTGATTCATATTGCTCTCTCTCTCACACACACACACATTAACGAAGATTCAGACACAGGAACCCTGTCAAATAGCATGCCCACAAGTCGAAATGAGATGAGATCATCTGAAAAAATCTTAAGGAGTTTGGTATGTCCTAAAAAAGTAGAAATCGAAAGTGTGAATACCATGATGTTTTGGTGGCCTTGAAAACCATAAGAAGATGAGGTTGATTGTGAGTATGAAAAAGATGACGATGATGATGTATTATAGGCTGTTTGCAATCTCACATCTTCCTGCACAGAAAAACTCCATGAAAATTCTGAGAACAAGAAAATTAGAGAGAGATAGAGAGAGAGAGAGAGAGAGAGAGACCTGGTTGAGGTTAGGTGGGTAAGGATTTGGAACAGAAGGAAGGTAGCTACAACCCATTTGGCTATGCAGTCTAATCTTCTCTAATTGAGCAACACCAAGGCCTCTCTGAGGTTGTTTGGGCTTGTCTGAATTGCTCTTCTTGCCTTTCCTTGACGAACCAGATCTTTCATTTCCTAGGTTTGGCTCCCCAAAATAACTGCTACCCATCTTCTCTTCTCTGATGTATATGTGTGTGTGTGTGTGTGTGTGTGAGAGAGAGAGAGAGAGAGAGAATTGCTTTACAAGCCTAAAAACTTCTGCAAATTTTCTTCAAGCATCTGAGAGATCTTCTGTAACCCCCTTTTAAGTTGTACACTTTGCACCCCTAGTAATTATTGCATCGCTGGATCAGATTGTGTTCAGATTTATACGACATAACTATATAGGTTTAGATTTTATGCTCTCTTTTTCTCACTTTCTCTTCTGGCTTTGATCTTGAGAACTTCTATATTTTACTCCATTATTTTTCTCTTTAGTTATGGACTTTGGAGCCTGTGACTTGAAAGTGATTGTCTCTGATTAAGCTAATTTAATATTAGTTAACACACAAGATACATTGCCCAAGCGCCTACATGGGTGTACATCACACGCTTTAATAGAGTATGACAACATTACAATAAGATCTCCTCGAATTCGACAATTTTCTGTTTAAATATCTTTCTCTAATGCATGGTGATCTACCAAGAACAAAATAAACAAAAAAAATATTAGAAGGAATTTAAATTCAACAATAATAATTCTTATCACGAATTTGCTCACAAAATCAAAAAATTAGTCTCCCTCAAATAGACATATAAGATGTTTGATGTGTAGGTCAAGTGTGTTCATGGATTTTTATACTCCCACTACATTTTGCTTCAATTATCATCAATTAAAGTGTTACCCATAAGATTTAAATAAGTAAATTCCATATTAATATGAGAAAAAAATTATCTACCATTCAAGAAAATTGAGAAAAAGTGTGGTGAGACTATTTGGATCTGAGCACTCGTGATTTTAAATGATCACTTGATTTGTCACTGATCAATGATCATGTTGGATTATGGCCTATGAA